TTGAAAGCATACTTGGGTTAATGTCGCTGTTGTCAAAACCCCTTCAAAGAGATAAACTATTTCTATATTTAGCAGTGTTAGAGGCTGCAGTCAGCTCATCGTGATAAAAGATGAAAAAGGACATCATAGGTCGATCTCTTATATGAGTAAGTCAATTATTGGTGCTTAAATGTAGTACACCAACATAGAGAAATTGGAATTCGCTTTGGTTACTTCAGGTCAACGCTTATGTCCAAACTTTCAAGCCCACTGAGTGACTGTGCCGACCAATTTTCCACTTCAACAACTCTTTCAAAAGCTAAAAGCATCAGGAAGACTTATGAAATGAGCAATTTAGCTAAGTGAGTACGATATTAAATTCAAGCGAAGAACTACAATCAAAGGTCAAACAATCGTGGGTTTTATTGTCCAACTAACATTGAATAAATCAAAAGTGGAATCTCAACAACACTTAACCTTCTATATTGATGGATCCTAGAATAAAAAAGGTTATGGAGCAGGAGTTCTATACAGTCACCAGATGGTGTGCGTTTAGAATGACTTTGGTTGTGGAGCAGGAATTCTATACAGTCACCAAATGGTGTGCGTTTAGAATATGACTTTGGTTCAATTTTGTTGAAGAGAAAGCAGAAGAAGACTGAAAGAAGTCTGGCCAAGGCATTACTTCGAAGTGGCTTATTAAACTTCGCCATCAACAGTTGGTTCATCTACAGGCTCATTGCCTAGCTCCCAATCTTTCTCATTGTCTTCGACGATTTTGGAAATGTTGAAGTCAAGAGCTTTTTTCTTGAGCCATTCAATGGTGAAGTCAAATCTTTTAATTGCCAATTGCTTCTTGTATAGGTCAAACTTGAGATGCTTCTACTATACCTCCAAAAACAAGTCTTGGAGAGTTTTACTTTCAGTGCAACTTTTTCTTCGAGTTTGTTCTTTGTAGTTGCTTCAATCTTGGTCAACTCCTCTTTTAATTGAGAAATCTCATCATGAGCCCATTTTAGGTTGACATCAAGTTTCACTGCCTGATCTTTGACCTTCTCCGCTTGATCCTTGACTTGTTCAATCCTTTCTTTGGCGTTGTCTAGTTTCTCTTGCGCTTCGATGTTATAGTTCGCAAGAGATTCTTCTATCTCTTGTTCAACCTTCTCCTCGGCAGCATTGAGACATCTTTCTTTGTTATGACGTATGTAATGCCTCAATAGTTCGGTTCAAATCATAACGAATCCTTGAGAAGAGAGGAAAATTTTCTCACAAAAAGAAAGAAGAAAAAAAGTAGCACTAATACTTAAAAAAAGAAAGGTGAAAGAAATTGTGAATTATACCTCGGCTGCATCATTGACCATGTGTTGGATATAGTATGTGTTGGATGCAGATTTCGACCTGCCACGTGTCAGAATAGAAAAGGTGGGTTGAATTAGCATCCGCGTAAAATATAGAAATTAACCTAAGTCCACTGAGGTCGACAGTTAGGGCACGACCTAAGACGTCGAGCTGACCTTCAGTGATATCCGTAACGATGTTTCTTCCGAACCCGACAACACGTCGCATTTTTAGGATTTGTCAGAATTCCTATCGGATCCAGTTTCTATAAATAGAAACTCCCGCCTTAAATGCAAGGCATGCAAACCTAGATATACTCGGCGAGTTAGGTAGGATTGAAACTAACTTGCTCATCAGAGTGCTAACCTTGTTTTTCAGGTTCTTCAAGGGCTTTGAGAGGCAGTCTGGCATCTCAGAGAAGATCCTTCTGATCCCTCCGACCTATCTTTCTTTCAAGCTTGGCAAATCCGAGCACAAACAGTCTGCTCTCGAACTATATTTAGAAGATTTGGAGCAGATGAACCTGTCTCTAGACATAATGTAGAAGATGCTAGAAAGAGCCTTAAAAATTTTGGCACTTCGTATGTTCGTTACGAAGGGGAGGTTGATGTTGCCTCAACCTTCAGCCGAGTCAGACTCTCCACATAGTTCAGACAGGTGCTATGTGACTTAGATGGAAGCATCAATTGATGTCTCTATCAGCTGGTGGACAAATCAATTACATCCAGAAGGAAAAATCGAGGATGTGTTGGTACATGTTGATAAATTTATATTACTATAAGATTTTATCATCATTTATTAGGAAGCTGACAAGGAAGTTCCTATTATTAGGAAGACCATTCTTGGCCACAGATAAGGCATGAGTAGATGTGCATAAGGGCAAATTAACAATGCTGAGTACAAGTTCAAGAGGTAAACATTTTAGTGTTCAACTCAATTAAAGGCACTACTGAGCTCGAAGAATCTTCTACTACCAGTATCTCATACGACATATTAAATGACGAGTTTATTAAAGAGGTGTTGCTGGAGTAACTTAATGAAGAAGGTTCAGTAAACCAAGACGAAAGAGGAGAAAAGGAGGATGAAGTAATATATTTAGTGTGAATGCCAAAATGAGAGAGGGCTGAACAAATTATATTAGTATCTATGGAAGAAGTGAGTACATAAAAGCAGCCGGAAATTAAGGTTACATTTTCCAATGAGCAATTTTTGGCTGTCACACATGTAGAGCACAAAAGATGGTCCATATGTTTGCGGAATAAAAGTAGATCTGCTTCGAAAAACATTACCATCCAAGGTCTTTCATCTTTCATGAGTCTGTGACTCGTATGGGTGTTATTTGAAGTGATGATAAATTAAGTTTCAGAAGCAGTTTGCATTGCTCTACGTTTAATTTGGACATATAATTTATCTATTTTAAATAATTGTTGTGATAAAACATGTAGAAATTAATTAAGTTCATTCTACTTTACCTTATTAGGTTAAAAGTGTTTTATCTCACTAAAGTAAGGAAGAACCCTATACAAATAATCATTTACATGTCACATTTTTTGTAATTTTTAATGCTATGAATCCGTGATTAATTTTATCTATTTCGTTTAGTTATGTTGGTATTTGTGATCATTAATGGATTTTAGCACCTTTTAAATCTAAGACCTCTTTGATTCTTATGGATGTAACTACTAATCCAAATTGTTTAATTTAACTCCTTTTTACAATAGCAATTTTAAAGCTCATGAGGCCAAATATATCTGGCCCAACGTTAGATTGTTGGAATTTTTAATGACATGGGGCCACACACATGTAGTTATTGAATGTTTTTTTTTGGTTGCTATGTTAACTAAATGGGAAATTTGAATTTGTGACCCCTCCAATAACTGAAACTGGATAAATGACCCAATTTTTAAAAAATCTAATTTGTGACCCCTCCACCCCTTATTTATGATCCCTTAAATATTTTATTCATGGGAAAAGACCAATTTACCCTCATTGTTAATAAATGTGCATTTATGATTTCCACCTAACCATTTCACCAAACTGTAAACCCATATTTTACATATGTTTGAACATGTTAATATTATAGATTATGTATAACTCACAGATCACGTTTTCAAAATCCGCTCAACTACGTACGTGTTTGATCTTTCTTTATCCCCACACTATCCAAAATCATTGTCCCCACAATTTCACTTGAGGTATGTTACCTTTACACAAACTTTTGTACTCTATAATTGTTGAACTTTTTTGAAATATTTTCCCATTAATAGGTTCAACTACTAGATTTGGCTGTTGACAAAAAAAAATTAGATTGTTGCAATTACTTCAATCCCGGATCTATACCTGGTCCGAGATTGAATGTAAACAATCCCGGTGCATCACGTATCGGGACTGTCTCGGATGTATCTCGGACCAGTCTTGGTCCGAGACATGTCCTGGACTAATCT